AGAAGGGGAGGAGGAGAAGATTCTAGAAAACACTTTTGACTTTTCTTCCTGTTTATTGGAAGCAATTTATAACATTCTATGTCATTGAAAATATATGCATCGAGGAAAATTAATCTGCAGCAGTCTGCCATTATAGAAGAACAGAGCAACTCTAATTGCAACACCCCATTCTAACAAACATTAACAGAAGCCTTAGGGCAAGCTGTAAACAATGTTCCTTTGCTCAAAAAAGAAAAAAAAAAAAACTCCAAGGAATAGTTGGTTTCTGTGGCTTTTAAAAAATTTTTTGAGTGACATTTGAATGCTTTTAGGATGTCTGTATTGAGAGAATGGAATGTTTTCAGTATGTCTTTTTCAGGAGAATGAAAAGCATTAAGTGGGAGACAAATCAAAGATTGCTTTGTGAAACCTCCTTTGTCTTATCACCTCAATGAAAATAGAACAGCACAAAAATCCTGAGAAATGCTGATTTTTTTGAAAAGATGTTTTGTTGTAAATGATTGGGGGGTGGAAGGATATTTTTTAACCAGACAAAAAAATTGCCTATCTTAATTATATTTTGAAAAAAACAAGACATGCACTAGTTTACTCCTTCCACAGATATTTAAGTGCCTTGTATATACAAGAAAAAAAAAGTGATGAAAAAGACATGATACCTACCCTCAGAGAATTTACTGATAGTGCATATATACATATGTAAACATGATTTACACACATCAACCAATCTTTGAGTGTACATCAAGGCTGCTGTGGTGAGAGTTCCAGTTCTCCTGGAACATATGTTACAGTAGGAGAAAACAAACAAGAATCAAGTTAACTAATGTGCAATTACAGATACAGATAGGTGCTATGAAGACAGTAAACCAAGGAATTACAGTAGATGGTGACTTATTTTTTTCTTAAGATTTTTTTTATTCGTGAGAGACACAGGGAGAGAGGCAGAGACATAGGCAGAGGGAGAAGCAGGCTCCCTGTGGGGAGCCCAATGTGAGACTCCATCCCAGGATCACTCCTGAGCCAAAGGCAGACACTCAACCACTGAACCACCCAGGTGTCCCTAGATGGTGACTTATTAATAGTGGAGTCCAGAAAGGCTTTTGTGAGGAAGAGACTTTTGAGTTGAGATCTGAAGGATGAGAGTCAACCACAGTAAATTTGGTGGGGGTTTGATGGGGTGGGGGAGCCAAGCATTCTAGGTAGATGGGATTATAAATGCAAAAGCCCTGAGATGGCAATGATCTTGACATGATCCTGGGACTAATAAAGGTCAGCATGTTTGGAGTCCAGCAAGCTGGGGGAAGTGGTAGGAGAAAAGATCTCAGAGGTAAGCAGGGGCCAGTGAAAGGAATTTGGACTTTATTCGAAATGCAATCAGAAGCCACTGGTTGATTTTAAACAGGGCAGTGACATAATATGGCTTATTTGTTTTTAAAGATTGTATTGACAGTTCTGAGGACCATGGATAGATAAGAGAGTGAGAACGGAAGTGGGGAAACCAGATAGGAGACTTATAGTGGGCCAAATGAGAGTGATAATGGGTTGGAGTGGAGTGGAATGAGAGCTATAGAGAGAAAGAAGTAGAAGAGCCAGCATATATATATATATATATATATATATATATATATATATATATATATATATATGTAGAGAGAGAGAGAGAGAGAGGAGAGAGTTGATCAGTAGGTTGAATATGAGGGGAGGAGAGGAAGAAGGAATTGAATATGCCTCCCAGGTTTTGGCTTGAGGAACTGAGTGAATAGTAGTATTATGCATGGAGATGAAGATGAGGGAAAAACAGGTTGAATGGAGAATTCCATTTTGGTTATGTTAAGTTTGATGTCCCAGTTAGAAGTCCATATCAAGATTTCAAATAGGTCGGTTGGATATTAGAGTTCAGAGTTCAGGGAAGAGATTATGCTAAAAAATAAATCTGGGAGGCATCAGTATAGGGTCAGTATTTTAAGTCATTGGGACTGATGAAACCACCCAGGGAGTGTACAGAGGTAGATAGGAGAACTCAGAGTAGAATTTACAGTTCTTAAGTGATTTAGTTGTGGAGCAGAGGAGCAGAGGAAGAGGAGCCAATAAAGTTCTTTTTTCAAATATACATATATATACATACACAGATGCAGAGTATATACACATGTATATATATATATATATAGTTATGTATATATGTGTATACATGTATTTTTTCTGACCTATTTAAGATTAGCTGGCAGACATGATACCCTTTTATCCCTAAATACTTTAGATTATGTATATGTATAAATACATGTGTGTGTGTACATGTACAGAGAGAGAGAGAGGAAAGGAGAACAAATGTACAGAGAGAGAGAGGGAATGAGAACAAAGCAAATGTAGTAAAATGTTACTATATTAAGAATCTGATTGAAAGGCATCCTGAGATTCTTTTTTTCTGTGTGTATATGAATAAAACTGTTGCAACTTTTAAGTCTGAAATTATATCAAAATAAAGTGATGCAAATTGAGAACTAAAGTAGAAAATGAACTAGGTGGGGAACCTTGTAAGACATGATATTCAGCTGGCCTAATATAGATATCCAAAGGTGCTGTGAGGGCATTTCAGTAGCAAAATCAAAGTGAGAAAGTCATGGATGTAGCAGAGCATGGTATATTCAGGAAACAGCAAATGATTGAGAGTTTTCTATTCTTTGAGCACTTTCCTTGGCTTTAAACATTAAGCAAAGTGAGCAGTAAACTCATTTGCAGAGAGTAAGAGAGTAGGATGGGAAACTGATAATTTAAAAGGAATTCAAATGGGTAAGAAAGAAAGGATTCCAAAGCAACATGAAACATCTAGTTAGGATAAATTTGAAATGGAAGTGGCTCAACGCTCAGCAAGCCAAGAAAAGTAGAAAAAACAGAAGATTAGAAATTGGCAAGATAAATGCAGCAAGGACAAGGGCCCAAGGAAAATGGTACTGAAATAGTTTCTCTTGGGGCCTGGCTGGGTAGGGAATAGGTAAGACATAAAGGAGCCTGGGCAGTGTTTGGGGGAGAGACCTGGAAAGGGTCAATCACAGGTTCTGAAAAAGACTAGTCATCATCTTTTTCCTCATGTACTATTTTAAAGGGCTGAATCAGGTGATCCTTACCAGCTCTTTTTTTAAAACTCCCTTTTCTCTTAGCATCCTTTTCACAATAGACTGAACTACTTAGCACATGACTTCATAGAAAAAAGCAAGGTGGGAGTTCAGGGCTAATTCAGAGCACAGGTTATAACATTTTTCATTTGACCAAAAGTTAGGAAAGGAGAATGGATTGAAGTTTAGGGTTAGCGGGGCTTGTGGGTTTAGCAAGAGCGAGCAGCAGTGGAGAAGAGGTAAAGATTTGAGATTACAATCAGGAGTCCAGTTTTTGGGTTTGAAATCTTAGAGATAGAGCACTTACAAGTGTTGACTAGCAGCCAAGTATGGCCATACCTGTGATGGCTAAGCAGAAGAGAGGAGGGGGTCAGTCAGTTTGGAAGGTTTGAGGAATGGTGAGGTCAGAGACTGCAGTCTCTGAGAGTTCACCAGCAAACATTTCTCGGTGGCCTATTACATGTCAGGCATGAATGGTGCCAAGGAAGACCAGGATGATGTCTGATTGTGAGAAGCAAGGAAGTGAGGAGTGAAAGTGGATGTCACGAATGCCAAAATTTGGAGGCATTAATGAGAGAGTAGAAGAACCATGGTCTAAAAGTACCATGTGAAGAGAAATTTTTGATGTGTTTGGAAGATGAAGTTCATGACATATAAATGGAAGACAATGAATCTTCTTCTGGCATCAAATTTAAGGTTTTATTTTTGATATCCATTAGAGAGACTTTATATTTAAGAAATATTGGCTTCTTGGGACGCCTAGGTGGCCCAGTGGTTGAGCGCCTCACTTCGGCCCAGGGTGTGATCCTGGAGTCCTGGGATTGAGTCCCGCATCGGGCTCCCTTCATAGAGCCTGCTTCTCCCTCTGCCTGTGTCTCTGCCTCTCTCTGTGTCGCTCATGAATAAATAAATAAAATCTTCAAAAAAGAGAAATATCGGCTTGTGCTACTTTGTAATATTTAAGAACTGCTTTTCTTTAATATGGATCATTTAAAAAATTTAAAAATAGGCTCTGTGAATATAGCTTTAAAAAATCTAGTAAGAAAAGGTAAAGTTATCAATATATAAATTATAGTGTGATAAGTACGTAAAGGAATTGTTCCTCTTTGTGAAAGGGTTTGCTGTAGTTCTTTATTTTTTTTTTAATTTTTATTTATTTATGATAGTCACACACAGAGAGAGAGTCAGAGACATAGGCAGAGGGAGAAGCAGGCTCCATGCACTGGGAGCCTGACGCGGGATTCGATCCCGGGTCTCCAGGATCAGGCCCTGGGCCAAAGGCAGGCGTTAAACCGCTGCGCCACCCAGGGATCCCGCTGTAGTTCTTTAAATCTGAATTCTCTCTTTTTTTTTAATTTTTTATTTATTTATGATAGTCACACAGAGAGAGAGAGAGAGGCAGAGACACAGGCAGAGGGAGAAGCAGGCTCCATGCACCGGGAGCCCGACGTGGGATTCGATCCTGGGTCTCCAGGACCGCGCCCTGGGCCAAAGGCAGGCGCCAAACCGCTGCGCCACCCAGGGATCCCAAATCTGAATTCTCTTAACACCCTTACTTACTACTTGAGAAAGTAAAAAGGAGATTAAAGCTATATGAATTTTGAGAATGATATGACTATAGTTACATTGGGTTTTAAGAACAGTATAATATGGTCAGAAAGGACAATTTGTTTTCCCTCACTTTGGAATATGAAACAGTTTCATTGATTAACTTAGAAAAGGAAAAAAAATCTGATGCTAAGAACCATTAAAAAGTGATGCTAAGGACCATTAACAGCAGAGATCATAATAAATAAGACAATCCCTTTTCAGTAACATGTATATAACATTCTTTGATGGTTCTTATTTCATTATAGTAAATGTGTAAAAGAAGTGGCCCTTCAGCCAGCTAACCTGAAGTAGAGAACTTGACTTTAATCCTTCTTGCTACTGCCTTGTGGTTAGACCTTGGCTTTTTCTCTCCCTGTAAAAATAAGAATATTTACATCATTGTATCATTCTGTGAATAAAAAGAAAATGAGTGTGAATGTATTTTGAAAAATTAACTGTAAATATACAAATAGCATTGGGAGTGTCTTTATTGAGTAAATGCTTTCAAATTTTTCAAATGCTTTTCACAATTTTATCTGTGAAAGATATGATAATTAGGTTCCTTTGTTGAAAAGGAAGGATCTTAGAAGGCACAAATCTCATTTACTAGTGTCACCTTGAATCTACATCGCCTTGATTCTATTCTTAAATTAATGTAATAAGCTGTGGTCTTTACCTAAATAACTTGAGAGGTTGTGGTTTTCATTTTAAAAACAGGAAAGACACTTCTGATGACTTTTAGAATATTAACATCATTTAAACCAAGCTGCATAGTCTATACCAATAATCATGTGATTATAGCACACACTTCTTTTCAATAATTTAAAAAAAAAATTTTTTTTTTTTTTTTGAGAAAACAATTCCATGAGAAAAGCATGGTTGCTATTTTCAGGCCTTTAGCTATAGCTCAAGGGCACATTTACATCATTATTGTGTCTTTGCTGATCCAAAAAAATAAATGAACTGAAATGTCAAATGTCAATTCTAGAGTATGAACAGTCTAGAATTTGAAGTCACCGAGATCTTGTTCAAATTATTAGGTGATGGTCCAATCACTCAGCCTGTTTGTATCTCAGTTTTCCTATATCTAAAATAGGAATAATAGTTATCTTAAACTCATTCACTCAGAAAACATCTACCGAACTCACATTCCCAGAAGGTGCTGGGTTACAGCTATAAGTAAGACATGCTTCTGCCATCCCATAGCTTATACTCTAGTAGGACAGACAGGAAATAAACATAAATACATAACAAAAATCATTCCACATAAGTGGAATTGCAGTGAAAAAAATAAATCACGGTAACAGGATGGAAAGTGACTGGGAAGGGGCCAAAAGAAAGAGTGTGGCCACCCAATCAGGGAAGTCTTCTTTGAGAGGTAGTACATTCCAGCAAGCACTCAATTAATGAGGAGCCAGACCTGGGTAGATCTAAAGAGGAGTATGTAGGAGGTGGAAAATTCTTGAAGAAGAAAGGAATCTGTCTTTTTGTTTGTCCTGGAAAAAAACCTATGAAGCTGGAGCCTAGTGAAAAAAAGGGAGGGTACTGTGATATTTGGCATGTATTAGGAGAAGAAAACAGTCCAGATCATTTAGGGCTTTGTAGTATGATAGATAATTTGGATATTATTCTAATTGCAATGGAAGGCACGAACTAACTCTGAATAAGGAATTGACACTGCATAATTTACATTTTAAAAAGATCTTTCTCTATAAATTACTAAAACTAAAAGATATTAGAGTAGGTTTACAATAATCAATTATGTCCCTAAATACCAATAATTATTTAAAAATAATTTAAAAGATATCATATGTAAAAGTAGCAACAACAAAAATACAAAAGAATAAATTTAAAGATCTGTACAGAAGCACATTATAAGTATTTTTGGAAAATGTTAAAGTAGACTTAAGTTAATCAAGATGTACCATGTTCACAAATGGAAAGGCTCAATATCACAAAGATGCCAACTCTCTCTAAATTATGTGATAAATTTGATATAGTTCCAACAAAAATATCAAGGGATTTTTTTTCCCCTTTGTGTGGAATTTGACAATTTCGCCATAAATTGTAAAAGCAAGAAGCCAAATTAGCTAAGTCAATTAGCCAAGCCAAGTTAATTATTAACTTGCCTACCAGATATCAACTCTTATAATTAAGATGGTTTGATATGGGAAGAATAGAGAAATGAACCAGGAGAACAGAATAAAGAGCTCTAAAATACACCTACATATACACAAAAACTTGATATATATAGGTAAGTGGGGGAAAGAATGGACAAATAAGTGTTGCTAAGACATTTGGCTATCCAAATAAAAAAAATCAATTCAGATAACTTAAGGACAAAATGATGAAAACAATAATTTTTAGAAGAAAATAGGGGAGAACATTTTTATAACCTCAGAGTAGGGAAGGATTTCTTGACAGATAAAAGCACATCCCCAGAAAGAAAATATACATATATCTAATTACATTAGTATTAAACATTTCTGCACATCCAAGACATCCTAAAGTGAAAAGATAAACCATAAACTAAGGAAAGACATTTATAAGCTAAAAAGAGTTATTTTTCCAGAAAATGCTAAACAAAATGCCTGTGAATCAATAAGAAAAAACTAACTGCGTGGAAAAATAGGCAAAAGATATAGAGTTGAAATTCACAGAAAAGGAAACCTGAAAGGCCAATAAACACATGAAATAATGTTCAAATTCAGGAGTAACAAGTGCACACAGACTAGAATGGCAAAATCTAAAAAGTAGCTATGTGTTAGGGAGGCACTGCAGTAGCAGACATGCTGCTCATATACTGCTGACTGAAGTAAAAATTGTGACAATCATTTTGAAGAGTAAATTTATTTTTAATATCTGGCAATAATATTGAAATATATTTATCAAAATAATTCCTAGGTATATTACTGTAGATAAAAATTTTGCATGTGTATATAAGGTGACATAAAAATATAGCATCATGGAATCTTTGGAATGAAATATTGTTAATGAGCTAAACATCCATTAATAGGATAATGGATACATAATTGCAAGTATATTCATACAATATAATACAGCCATGAAACTGAATGAAAAGTGGCTATTGGTGAGGATGAATCTCAAACAAGAATACTTAGTAGAAAGATTAATAACTGCAGAAAGGCACATACAGCAAAAAAAAAAGTTATTCAGATCACAATATATTGTTATGGATATATATGTAGATGTAATAAAAATACATGAATTTCATGAGCATGATAAACATTAAAATCAGATTACTTTTACCCCTGAGGAGCGAAGGTGAATGGAATTAAGAAGGGATACACAAGAGACTTCAAGTATAACATTATATATCTCTTTAAACTAGATGGTGGGTACATGGTTTTGTTTATTCATTACTTTTTTGTGAACTGGAAATATTTTATAACACAAGTTTTAAAAAGAGAAGAGTAATTTCAGCTTATAAACTGAAAAATGAAGTAAGAACGGGGTAGAATAGAAAAAAAGACTTGTCAGGTGACAATCGCTGTACTTGAACAAGAGTAGACTTGAGTATCTAGCAGTTTCTGGCAGCTGGGGCTGTTTAAAAAGTCGTAGCTACTGTTTTGGTGGTTGCTATCACCTTCACCATTGTTATTATCAGCGTAAAGACCAAAGATATAAGGGGATTATGACAAAAGATAAACTAAATATTTGGACGAGTTATACTGCACTGTGTTTTATGTACCTCTTTTAGTCTTGACTGGAATCTGGTTATGAGGAGCCTAAAGCTCGCAGAAGACGAAGAGGGAAGGCACACAGACTACATAAATCTCCAAAGACTTTTCCAACATTGTTTAAAACACACTCTCCCCCTCCCTTCCAATATGCACACACACACATCCTTTCCCTGTCTAGCAGTGAAAAAAATTCAAACACCTTTTCTTCTTTGGTTCCTAAGTTAGTGTATTTTGAGTTAAATATCAATAATTTGATAATACCAAACCCTTGGGGGGGTAGAAGCTATAGTCGCTATTACAGAATACTTTGGGATCTGTTTCGGTTTTTCATCTGATCCTCCTAAAGACTCTGCGGTGAACTGGGCAGTTGGTTATTCCCATTAGACAGATGAGTAAACTAAAATCCAGAGAGGCTAAACCATAAACTGCTAACTTGGTGACCATGAACTTCATGGAATTGTGTCAAATACTTTATGATTAAATGGGCATTTTTCTAGGTAGAGGGTCCGCTTTAATTGTATTTTCAAAAGGTCTGTGCCTCCCCTCAAAGGTTTTAAAAACACTGGATTTTTAAATGATTTGCCTAAGGTCACAGGGTCCTGGTAGAGCCAAGATCCCAGTTTCTTCCTACTCCACTCAGAATTCAATTATTTTCTTTTCTTTCTTTCTCTCTTCCTTTTTTACAACCTACAGCATCAAAATTCACATTAGACATTATTATTAGTGAAATACTTTTGGTAAAGTCTACAGACTGATAAGATGGAAAGGTCATGGGATCCCTGGGTGGCGCAGCGGTTTGGCGCCTGCCTTTGGCCCAGGGCGTGATCCTGGAGACCCGGGATCGAATCCCACATCAGGCTCCCGGTGCATGGAGCCTGCTTCTCCCTCTGCCTGTGTCTCTGCCTCTCTCTCTCTCTCTCTCTCTCTCTATGACTATCATAAATAAAAATAAAAAAAAATTCTAAAAAAAAGATGGAAAGGTCATTAAACATACCCAAACCTCTTACTTGGGAGGAACCGTTTTGGTTTGTGCAGCCGTTAGGCGGCCACCCCTTGGTCTACAGGGTGCTGCTGCTTCTCAGCCCAGCACGTCCACCACTGCTGTCTCTACATGCCCTAACACGGACTTGCTAAAGGAGAAATGAATCGGAAACAGTAATTGCATGACGTATGTTGCAATTCTGAGCCATCCGTAAAGAACGGTCGTTGAGGCGCAGCTTGACCTGGTGGAAAGGGGGACCCTGAGCTGAGAATGGGGTGTTTCACCCTCTCGGACAAAGGGCTCCTTGTCTCAGGGCCTCCGCGCTGTTGGCTGTTAAGAGCCAAGGTGGATGCGTGGCTTCTTAATCCTTCCAGGCCTAACGCGTTTGGATGGGATCTAAAATAAGGAGGCGCGGCGGTTTGGGTGGGGCATGAACATTTCACCCACGGCTTGTTAACCTTAAGTCTTCGTTTCCTAGAGGGGAAAGGTCTCCAGCGCCCTAGGTGGGCCGCTCGCCCCGAATGTCCCCATGAGGGCGACAGTCCCCGTCGGGGAGGGTGGGAAGCACGTTGCAGGCAACCGCGAGGCCCCGTGAACCCCCTGGGAAGCGATGACGTCAGGCGGGAAAGGTGCAAGCACCGCGGGCTGCGAGCCTAAGCAGCGGGGCTGTGCGAGCGTGGCGGTGAGGCCTCGGGCCCGGAGGCGGCTGCGCCCGGGGAGCGCCGCACCTCCCGCCGCCCCGCGGCCTCCCGAGCTCCGGGTGTGACCCAGGGGCGGCGGCCCGGGCCCGGCCACGTGACCCGGAGCGGGGGGGGAGGAGGGGGAGGGGGCGGGGGCGGGGCGTGCAGAGGCGCGTCCCGCCCCCGCCCGGCGCGCAGGCGCGCTGCACCGGCGCTGAAATTCAAATTCGAACGGCCGCAGGAGGCCGAGTCCGACCCGGCGGCTGAGGGGCGGGCGGCAGGAGCAGTTTGGGAGCGTCGGGTTCTCCCCAGGCGGCGCCCGGAACTGAGACTCACTTCTTTCCCTTTTCCGAACTTGGACCACCGTCGTCGCGCAGTCGAGCCGCGGAGTCCGGGGCGATGGACCCGTTTACCGAGGTGAGAAAGCCTGCGGGCGCAGCCTGCCATCGCCGCCCGCGGCCGCCGCCCTCACCCCGACCCCGACCCCGACCCCGACCCGACCCGACCCTTCCCACCGCCCGTCGACCCCCGGGCGCCCCGGGCGGAGGGCGCGTGCGCGCGCGTGCGCAGCGGGTGTGCGGGGGGTCAGCCCGGCGCCCCTCCCCTCCCCCCCGCCCCGCGGCGGCTCGGGGTCGGCGGCTGACGGCTCGCGGCGCTGCGGCTGAAGCTCAGGGAGGGGAGCTTGGGGTGCGGAGCCCCCCGCCGGCCCCGATCCAGAGGGTGAGGCCCGCTGTCCTGCGGAGGAGCCCGGTCCCTCCCGAGGGTGCGGTTGCGGCCGGCGGACCTGGTCCTGCTGGCAGCGCGAGGCGGGCAGGGCGCAGGGTGCAGGCGGCGGCTGGCGGGACTCCGCGCAGGTGCAGCCGCCGCCGCGGACCGGCCTTGCGGGGGTTCGCGGCCCGTGGAATGCGGCGGGCGAGCAGGACGGCCCGGGGGCCCCGGGGGCCCAGCGGCCTAGCGCCGCCCTCGGCCCGGGGCGTGACCCCGAGACCCGGGATCGAGTCCCGCGCCGGGCTGGCTGCGTGGGGCCTGCCTCTCCCTCTGCCTGTGTCTCTGCCTCTCTCTCTCTCTATCATGAATAAATAAAATCTGTACAAAGAAAAAAAAAATGACAGCCAGGGAGCCCCGGGGAGCCCAGGGCGTGACCCTTAAGACCCGGGATCGAGTCCCGCGCCGGGCTCCCTGCGTGGGGCCTGCCTCTCCCTCTGCCGGTGTCTCTGCCTCTCAATCATGAATAAATAAATAAAATCTTTAAAAAGGAAAAGGAAAATGACAGCCAAACGTTAACATCAGCCAGTACCTGAAACCATTGCATCGGTTCCGATAATGTCAATAGTATCTTTAGATTGGATCGCTCTGCTACATGAGGAAGAAGTCGTCCCAACCCCCGGGATTGACACGGGATTGACCCAGGAACGGGGAGGAAACAGTGCTAGTCCAACAGACACCAGCAAAATTAGTAGCCAACGATTTTTTTTTTTTTTTAAGCAGAGTAAGGAAATAGTAAACCTCTTCGTGTGTATGGAGCATCACGTTACAAGCAATGCTCTACTCGTCTTTTGTCCTTTGGAAATTGAACATGGATTCGTTGCATCATTGTGTCAGTTATTTCTCTCTCTCCTTGGCCAGTCTTGTTGAGAACATACATGGATATACTCAGCTTGGTTTCGTGTTGCCAGTTGTCCACCCCCTTTTCTTTTCTTTTTTTTTTTAATTTTTTTTTAATTTTTATTTATTTATGATAGCTACAGAGAGAGAGAGAGAGAGAGAGAGGCAGAGACACAGGCAGAGGGAGAAGCAGGCTCCACGCCGGGAGCCCGACGCGGGATTCGATCCCGGGTCTCCAGGATCGCGCCCTGGGCCAAAGGCAGGCGCCAAACCGCTGTGCCACCCAGGGATCCCACCACCCCCTTTTCTTGTAGGGCAGTTCCTCTTTAGGTGGTTATGCGAGGTTCAGACCTAATTTCTTGAGTTGTTGCAAAGTGGGCCTAAAAATGTCTCTACGTGGGCAGCCCGGGTGGCCCAGTGGTTGAGCACCTGCCTTCGGCCCAGGGTGTGATCCTGGAGACCCGGGATTGAGTCCCACATCGGGCTCCCTGCATGGAGCCTGCTTCTCCCTCTGCCTGTGTCCCTTGCCCCCCTCTCTCTCTCTTTGTGTGTATCTCTCACGGATAAATAAATAAAATCATAAAAAAAATAAAAATAAAAATGTCTCTGCTAGATTCAAAAACTTAAATGCCATGGGAAGTATAATTCCTTAAGCCTAAGATGCTAAAAGTTTCAACAGTTACAGTTTACTTGTATTTAAACATAACAGTATTTGTTTTGGTTTCAAATTCTCAATCATGTAGGAGAAAACATTAATTTGTTAACCTTCCTTAAGGATTCTAAGAGAATACCCAGAACACATTTTTGTATTAGTTTTAAAGAATAGGGCTGTTCATGTGCCATGTATTATTTTTCACGTACTTTGGAGTTAAAGAGGATATTTCATTTTATGTTACTAGGCTAGAATAGGATTCCTTAAAACATTTGCCCTATGCGTCCTGAATATTCCTTTTATTCTCCTAAGTCACTGACAGGAACAAAGCATTTTGAAAGTTGGCTGAAAGTTGTATTTCATTTTACTTCAAAATGTCATTCCAAAGCTACTACTAAATCTCAGTTGAAAGAAACTTTTATTCGAAAGAAATCTTCCATTTTAGAGTGTGCTCAGAAACCTGTATCGTTTATATTATAAAAGAGCAGTTACAGTTGGAGTAAACAACTTTGACATCTCTTCCTTAATTGGTAATGAGCGCACTATCTGAATTGGTTCCAGTGACTAGGTGTTTAATTATAGCATTCATCGCATTTTTGCACAGGAATGTGAACTGCAACAGTTCTTTGTCCTAAAAGGACTGAGGATCAGTTAAAATGATTTTCTCAACCGGAGTTCCTTATCAGAACCACAGAAAATGATTTGAGAGACTATTTTGTTAATTTTCCCAAAGGTGATTCATAACCATGACATCCTACAACCACAGGAGAGATGTTAATTCATTACAGTAATGTCAGTGCATTAGGGCTAATTCTCTTGGTAGCTCTGGCTGATGAAGCTGCAGCCGTCCGAAACTCTCTTTTCCTCCAACAAGGCTGTTGGGCATTGCTTCTCCCTGCTGCTGTCGCTGGTGCTGTGTGGCGCACTCTTCTCTCCCTGCTCCTTCCGCTTGGCAGACTGATTTAACCTCCAGCTCGCACTTTGATTTTCCTTCTTCGGAGGGCAGATCACCTCTCACAATGCTCATCTCACTTGCACTTACCTGTTGAACATAATTCCTGTCAGAACATGAGCTTCATAAAGGCAGGCCTGTTCTGTCCTTTTCAGAGAGATGTTTCCTTAACATCAAGGCATCCAATAACATTCTGCTGAAATAATAAAGAAAAAAGCCATTCCATGCACATTATTTTTTTGTCTTTTTTTTAAAGATTTTATTTAAAAAAAAAGATTTTATTTATTTATTCATGAGAGACACAGAGAGAAAGATAGAGGCAGACACAGGCAGAGGGAGAAGCAGGCTCCATGCAGGGAACCTGACGTGGGACTTGATCCCAGGCCTCCAGGATCACGTTCTGGGCTGATGGCGGCGCTAAACCACTGAGCCACCCACACTGCCCCATGCAAATTATTTTACAAACCAATAATTACATATAACATAGCTGCAAGAACATTTTAGCAATGTTCTTAACTTTATTGTAGAAAATATTAAATTATTCAAGTATAATAACTCCTCATGGGCTTCTCACCCAGCAACACATGGTCATATTGTTTCACTGTATTCCCCTGTAATCCCTCCCACTGAATCCTTTGAAACAAATTGTAGAGACCATATAATTTCATACCTAAATACTTCAGTATTGATCGTTAAACACTAAGCACTTTAAAAAATAATCATAGTGCCATTATTACACCTAAAAATTTAGCGGCAGTTTCTTAATATCAAATATTCTGTCAGTGTTCAGATTTCTTTAAGTGCTTCATGGTTTTGCAATTTGTTTGAATCAGGATCTAGACAAGGTCCACAGGGCAATGTCTTTCTGTATTCTTCCTGGACCAACCAGAAATAAGCCATCTTGATGTCCATGAAGACAAATAAGCAGTTAAGGCAGATGTTTATTATTATGACCAGCTGATAACATTTAAAAAGTTATGTTGGTATGAAGTTAGTTCTCCGGATAATAATTTCTTAAAAAGAGCAATTGAATTTAGTCAAAAGACAGCTTTTTTAAGGCTCTATACCCAATGTGGAGCCCAATGCAGGGCTTGAACTCATGACCCTGAACTGAGCCATTTAACTGACTGAGCCATCCAGGCGCCCCTTTATAATAGTTTATAGCAAAGTGATTAAGAGCCCAAACTCTGGGGCCCGGTTTTTGTATTCTATCTTGCTACTTCTTAGCTATGTGACCTATGGCTTATTTTTTAACCTGTGCTTGAGATTCTTCATCTGTGAAACAGAAAAAAAACAGAACCTGCCAAGTAAAATTTTGAAAATGAAGTGAGTTTTTGTGTGCAGACATGGAAAGTACTTTGTGTAAATGGTAGTGCTGTTGTGCTTGCTGGTAGGTTAATTTAAAACCATAAACTGACTGCTCATAACATTAGTGTCAGCCTCTTAGTTTGAGGATCTCCTGGAGAATGATCACTTCAGTCCAAGACTGCCACAGGGGACCCCAGAGATAGGTGTGCCCAGTCGGAGCTTTTCATGTAGGATCCTTAAAGTAGAAAAGCCACAATTAAAATATTCTGTAAGGCATCTTCTGTGCAATGAGTAAATGAACATGTGGTTACTGTTTTGAATAGAGTTTCTCTTATTTTTGAGAGTTAAATGAAAATCTCTGCATTGACCTGGGAAAGATTGCTGCTAGAGCGTATTGGAAATAAGTTAATTTATATTGAGTCTATTCTGTTTAAGAAGGTAGGGAAATCAGGAATACCTCTTAGAAAGGTTTCTGTCAGAAATGATTTCAGGTTCTCATCTGGCAGAAGTGGCTAAGGACTATAAGCTTCAGTTATTTCAGATTCATCCATGTGGAATGTCTTATTTCTGGTTCCATTAGTTACTGCATTTTTTTTTTTAACGCCTCCATTATTTGAAGAAGGAGGTGTGATATTTGAAAGAATGTACCTTGTAAATAAAGAACCCTTGAATTCTTGATGCTTTATTGTGGAGACTTAGGTTTATTGAACTATTGAGTTTACGTTCCTTCGATATGTAATTTCCTTTAAAGTAATCTTCAGTGTTTATTTTATAGATTAGGGAATTTTTGCTTATCTATTTTATTTTTTTTTAAATTTTGAAATCTTTGAATCTAATGGATACAGTAGAGCTCTTGTGTATGTTTGAATGGCACAGCCACATTCTTTTGTGACTGACCTCTTACTCATAGTAACTGAAGATATACTGACT